ACTTACATATGAAACCAAAATCTAAAACATTTCGCATCTCCATTGGTTCCATCAAAAATAAGACTACGTAAACGTGCACGATCACCTGGTTTTGTTGGAAGTGATGTTTCAATCATTAAATATTTTCCTTGTGCTGTATTTGTAGTATGATCTATAAGAAAAAAATAAAATATTATTGATTCAAAAATCGAATACATATCGATTTCTATCATACCGAATTGTGGTCCAGTTCCCAATGAATGTATTCCCGTTCCGACAAGCCAATCCATATCAGCATCAATATCATTATTTTGCCAACCGCATAGATCAGTTTCAAATGTACAATCTCCTAGACTTGGACATAAACCTCGTGTGATCGAAATATCATCAAGCGCCACACTGGCATCAGGATTTTGTACCAAAGGTTGAGCTTCTAATACTCCTTGCCATGGTTGATTACGACTTCTGATATTTACTTGTGCATATAACCAACGATTATCGAAATTACCACCAAAAACCCAACCATCGGTACCTTGTGGAGTTGTATAAACATTTAATTGTATTTTTTGTGTTGTCGCATGCAAGAAATACCAAAAATGTAAACACGAACCACTTGTACGTTCTTGAACTGGTGTTAAAAGTAATGCACGATCATAAATATTTCGATTTTTGCCTTCGGCTAACATATAATAACCCTCATTAGTTTGTGTTGTATGGTCAACATTTGGATTGACACCTTGTTGAACAACAGATGCTAAACCACGGGTCCAATTAAATTGTCCTGATAGTCCATATTGATAGCCTATAAATGAAATTTTAATTTTTGTCTTAGAGATTATTCTAGAAATTTCTTTTTTTATTTTCAACATACCACAAATAGAATCATCTGAATCAAAATCACATTGATCCGAAGTTGTTTGACAAGTTCCATTAAGAAGTATAATATCATCGATAGCAATTGCACTACGATTGGTATCTGACCATGTTCCTTCGATGACAATCTAGATAAGAAAATTCATAGAAAATAGAAATTCTACTAAATAAAAAAACGAACATTAAATTGTGGTGGATTGTTTGTTGATGCTTGCAGATTAACTTGTGCATGATACCATTCAAAACCTTTGCCACCTGTCGATGTCCATCGTACTTGAGAAAATACACCAGAAAGTTTTTCAACACTTAAACTGCCAACATTTGGACCATACATAAAATACCAAAATTCTAAATATTGACGATTATTATTCAATGATACACTACGAAGTTGACTTGAGATATTATTCTAAAGAAAAGAAAACTTTATAATAGGAAAAAGAACCTTAGCGTTTTTTTAATTTTTGCTTACATTAGTACTTGGTGCTGCTTTATTTGGTTGCAGTAAAAGATAATATCCAGTTGGTTGATTTCCTGTATGATCATATAGAGGACTATGTACATCTTGTTGTGATGCTGTTACACCTTGAACTCATGTCCAACCTAGTTCAGGTTTTGTTGTGATAGTCCATGATGGACATGTGGTACTTTCAAAGTTACAATCAAAAGCCGATGGTAGACGTGGTGGTATTGTTCTAAATAGAAAGAATTTGAAAAACATTCTATCGTTGAGAATAAAAAATTGGTATTATTCAACTGACATTCCTGTTGTTACGGCTGGCTGCATTGTTGTGTAAGCATCGGGTGGTGTAGCAAATGCTGGAAATGTTGGACAATAGCTATTTGTTATTAATAGATCATCAATACCGATATCACCTTCGTCGTTTTGAGTGATTTTAGCTTCGATTAATAGTGAATGATCCAAGTCTACAACAAAGCCAACTTTTCCTTCAAACCAATTATCATCTTGTTGACCAGATAATGTCCACATTGGTATTGGTTGAAAACCTTCTTTTTTTGTAAATATACTGTTAATGCACCAATACCATCACCGAACCTAAGGAAAATTTGAAATAACTATATTTTTTTTCTCTTGACTAGTTTTGATACTAACATGTGATAGAAGAATTCAAAACACATTCCAGTTGAACCTGTATCAGACATTGATTGTGAAATAAGTAGAGCTCTGTCACCTATTTTTCGATTACTATTCGAATCAATATATCCGTATGAACCTTGGTTTGTTTGAAGTGTATGATCTTCCAATTGACCTATAAATAAAATTTAAAGTGCATCATTTTTATTTTTCTATTTTCTTACCGCTAAGAAATGTACTCGATGATGCACCACTGATTATTTCTCAATCAAATTGATCAGTTTTCTTTACATTTTTCCATCCACAAAATTTATCACCTTCAAAATCACAATTGTTTGGTTCTCCACATGATACATCTAAACGTGAGGATGTGGTTGTGAATGTACGAGTTAAGGAGACTCATTCATACACCTGCACACCCACACCTCAATGAGTATCTGACTTATTAAAACAACAAAGGCTTGGTTCAACAACTAATCAAACAAAAATTGATTAAGAATAACAGGACAATTTTGATCTTTCATATGGATCTCCACTTGTATATCCTTATGTTCTATCAACAGTTTCACTTGATCAATCGGATATACCTCATGAACTTCATCTTGATTTTCTTTCACTTGTTTAGTAATTACATATTTATTCAAAAACAAGTATTTCTTCCCTTCGGTTTTTTGCTCTTTGTTTGTCATTCTTCGTTGTTGTCGGTGCTAATTTTAGCTCATTCTTTTCTTTTCATTTGACATTCCTTTTTTTTTCTTTTCCATTCACTTCTTTTCCAAAATGATTGTATTTATCTATTATATAAAAAACACGTAGATTTCTATGATTGATTCACATAAATAAAACAAAACAGTAATTGAAATAAATCAATCTTATCTTGTCGTATCATTTATTTTCGAGCACTATGAATTTATATATATCCAAGAACTCATAGAAAAAAACTAATTATATCCATCGATGACGTTCGAATGAGAACATGCTTTATTTCGAAATAAATCTATTATTGTTACTTAATTATAAATATTTTATAGTATTATCAATTAAGTACTGAAATAATTCAATAGAATAAAATATCGTAGTTTCTAATATGTAAATAAACAAATGTTTTTTAAATTCGAATATATTGATTTGAACTTCTGAAATTGAAGACAATCAGGATCTTATTTAAAAACAGGACGAGAAAAAATAAAATAAAACTGTATTTGATAGTACCATCATATCGCTCTAGACTTGTTGCATCTATTTTCGATATGAAATAAAGAGTGAAAATGCAATTTAACTTAATCTTCTGTTCTATTGAAAAATAATAATATTAATTATACATAAAAATAAATTATATTCGAAACAATTAGATTTACCACCATAAACATAAAAATAAATTAGATTCGAAACAATTAGATTTACCACCATAAACATAAATCCTGATTCTACAAATTTAACACAATCATCATGAATAAATTTTTTACTCTGAATAAATGCAGTCAATTTGTAAAAATCACATTCATATATTCCTGCAATACATAAAAATAATAAACCATGTACACTACCATACTTGTTTTCAATTAAATATTCGATTGTAGGTTCAAGCTCTTTAGTGTTTACTTCAACTGTTAAATGTTCCAATCGAGGAAATAATTTGATCAACAACTGAATTGTTTTCAATGTATATTTATCCGGCATTTCCAAATTTTTAATTACTCTATGTTTATAAGACATATCCATCGTTCTAATTGTTTCTATCTAATAAATGTTGAAAACTCTTATTTTCCTGAATTAAACATAAATCAACGCCATTCAAAGTTAATGGATCACTTGTAAACGTAACTAGATTGCAAGTAGCAGATAAAATAGAAATTAATTGTTTGAAAGACACATCAAAAGATCTGATCACCAATTTACTAAGTTGATCCAATGGAATAATACGATTAAGGATATTGACTAATCCCAGGTCGATCAACTTGTGTCGTACACGGCCGTTTGGCCACAATTTACGGCCGTTTGGTATACACCGTATTACGGTCGTTTGGCATCGTGTCATATACGATCGTATACAGTCGAATACTGCAATATCCGACCACATTACGGCCGTTAGTAACCGTTTACGACACGGCGAAATACGGCCGTAATACGGTGCATGCCAAAACGTCGAATTACGGCGATTTACGGTCGGAAACGTTATAAAACGGTAGTAAACGTTGCCGTATACGGCCGTTTACGATCGTATCAGGTCACCGTAATGTTCGACCTGGGATGATTCATCTATTTTCGGACAATGATTAATTGTCAATTGGTTGACATTTGGAAAATAATTCACACAATTTGTCTTGGGTAAACTACCATTAATAAAAACATGTTCGACCGAATTAAAATTTGTTCCTTGAAATGAACCAATTTCTTTGTTCGATTGCCAATGAAACTCGTAGCTTTTTCTTCTATAAAAAAGAATAGAACCAATAACAAGATAAGATATCCAGTTAATATTTTTATACCTATATGGTTGAGTTGAATGAAAATCTTTAATATTAAAAGATTGAGAACAATCATGTTGATGTGTAAAGAACCAATGTTTCTCAATCCAAAACGATGAAGTAAACGCATGAATTAATTCATCGTAATCTAATTGATTTTGTAGTTGAACACCATTATGATAGATATCAAAGATACGTAAATTCTGCATATGAGAAGAAATTAATTTTTCCCATCGTTCTGCATATAAATATTCTTCGTCATCTTCAATCGAAATAAATAAAACTTCGACAAATTTAAAACATTTTCTGACAATATCTTCAAATTTGTTAAAACGAATTTTTTGTAACTTAAGACAAACTCTTTTTAAATTTTCAAATGATGGAAGGTTATAATTAATATATTGTTCATTCGGATATTCGGAATCGTTAAGTAAATCAATTGATAAACTACGAAGTTTATGAATTCTATGAACTACATCATAAAATGCATTATATGGAAAATAGATATTAAGAACAAGATGTTCAATTGTACTAATAACATTTTTATCCAGATGATAATATATTGGCGTTCGAAGTATTTTAGTCTCATATTCCACTTTAAAATATTTTTATTTTAATGAAGCCAATGTTCTATATAAAAAATGAAGTAAAATTGAACCATCATTGGGATATACAATTAATGTATTTAATTCGGGGAAAACAACACTTGAATTATTAACAATTTCATCGAAAGAGTTGATACTAATATTATCAAGAACTAATTTTTTAAGACAAATAAAAGACGAAATAAGATGAGATGGTGTTATAAATATAGCAGCAATAAATGGATCAGATATACGAAGAACAGTAATACGATTTGTATTTGGTATAATCATATCATTATAGAAATGTTGAAAATTGAATTTTGACATTGTAATGGAAGTATTTACTTCCATGTTGGCCTTAGAAAGTAAATGATGAAACCTTTTATTAATATTAAAAAAAGCTTGATATGTATGATACATATCAAGATATTGAAGTATTAAAAAGAAAATTTCATTCGGCAAATCTTCAAAAACGAACATATCTATATGAATGATCCGTGAGCTGGTGTAATCGATTGGCTTAGTATCAGAGATTTGTTTCTCAGCTACACTTCGCGCATACACACGCACTAGGAATTAAGATTCTAATGTATTTCCAACTAAAAAAAGCCAACTAAGAAAGGTGCAAAAGGATTTTGGGTGAGATGATAAAAAGTAATATAGGTGTCGCTAATTTGGTATCAGTCACTGAGAATCCCAGGATGATCAAAACCGACTCGTTTACGGTCTGTTTATCGACTGTAAATGATGTCAAAACGGTATATTTACGGCAGTAAATAGGCCGTATTTGCCAGTAATACCTGGTGCAGTAATACGGCGCCGTAAACGGGACTGAATTTTCGCGGTTTACGGCTGTTTGTGCTCCGCACTCTCATGATAATACGGTCCGTATTACTGCGCCAGATATTACTGCAAACTTTTGTCCGTAAAATAGTCGTAAAGTAACCGTCAACGGCCGTCAACGGACCGTACTGTTCGACCTGGGAAGGCTTAGCGCATGGTAGCGATACATGGAATGACTACTATTTATGCAGGTTATTCCTTGTGGTTTAAATTATCTTGAAATGAATCTTGATATTTGAGAAGTACTCTGATTTTGTTGTTGATGTTACAACTGTAATTGCCTTTTTACCAACCAGCCTTCTTTCTTTTGCAATTTGTACATAATTTAAAAAAATTGATAATCAATAACGGGTTTCATTTAAAACTCGATCTAATTTTTTTCTATTGATCTCTCGTTTCATAGCGTTATAATTTCATGCAAAGTTATAGAAACGAACCATGATGTTCAATCTCGCAAAAATTTTAGATCAGCACATCTTCTTGGTGAACACATCTCTCGTTGGTAAACCGTTTTTGTGCGATGAGAGAATAATCAAAATATAATTGTTTGAAAACTTATAATATAAAAATTAAATCGAAGATTATATCTGTAGAGATTTATATTAAACTCTCGAAAAAATTCAACGGTGTGAAAAGAACGAAACTGTCACAAACATTGATGTTCTTTCTGATAGTTTATCCTTCTTCAAAACACGTTGCGATTGGCGTAACCTCAACCATGATGGGTCTTTTATACAAAGAAAAAAGGATTAACCCAATATATGTATTTTTTCTCATCATAAAATTGAAAATGCATTATATATAAATTCGATTTAATATACAGAAAGCGCGCGTATTACACAATACATAAGTGTGTTGAATTCTCCAAGTTTTAGAAACGAGTGCTTATAGTCATCATTTACCAGTCTACGGATCATTGTCTCAAACACTTGATCTGATGAGTTTCGAAAAGAACATTTTCGTCAAACATACTATCGGTTCTATTTTTGCATGACTTTCAATTGATAGTTATCACGAGTCATTTAATGCAAAATATTAGTTTATTCTGATAATCATAGCACTTTGAAAAGTTTTTTTTTAAAGTGTTGCATAAATAGGCATGAGTTACAAAATAAATAATAATGTATAAGAAATGTTACTCTTTCGTATGATTAATGACTAGAAAAATATGTCATTCTTTGACGAACATCGTGTACATAATAGAACTGGTTGATTTAAAAATTTATTCTTAACAAATCTTTTCCATTATAAATTAGCTATCAAAACTTTGAAAGAGCAAGCTCTATAGGCTGTGGATGAGCTCATATTCTCACCTGGCAATATGGATATCTCTTATTCAAAATTGTGAATATTTTCTTTACGTTCCATCTGTAGTAGCAAACCTTTTCAAATCTAAATGAATGTGTGAAACTGCAGATTATATCATTGCTAAACACATTCATCAACCCCTGATTCTCTCCTCGTTAGAAAAAAAAACAACTTTGAATTAGAATATAGAAGAAAATTCGTTCAGTTGTTACAACGCAATATTAGAGTATAAAAATTTCCATAATATAAATATAGGTTGAAAAAAATATCGTGCCTTACAATCCTTTGCTCATCAGAACAACTACATTAGTTTCGATCTGTTCAACGGACGGACTCTAAAAAATCGAACAGTCATTATTTTACTAGAAAAATTTTACAAAATTTACATCTACACTAAATGAACCAAGGAAAGTTTTTATTTCAAAAATTATTCTTTAACTTGTTATCATCATCTATCATTGTTAATTAGATCTCTTTACGTTCGACAATATTTAATAAAATAAAAACCAATGAGTTTATATATGTCTATGATATATTCAAAATAAAGACTAAAAATAAAAAGTATAACAAATATAAATTAATCTTGACGATGCTCAATTAATATTCATCTGAGAAACTTTACTAATTTTCAAATAGATTTTTCTATGCAAAAGATAATCTGTCAAATATGATAAACCATCAGAAAATTGTATCAATTATTATATTCTGATTTAGATATTATCTTGAATAATATTTATAAAAGTGTAATTTCTCTATTTATTCTCCTCAATAAAGATGAATAAAACTCAATCAGTTTGTGTATGTATTGAATATCATCCTTGTTTTCTTCTTCAACGAAAATTTTCATCAGTGTGATACAAATAACAATCGACATCACTATAACAATAAAACAATACGACCGTTAGAAAGAAGAATAAATATTCGTTTATACGTAGATTAATTAGTCTACGTCGCATTGACATAATATTTCTGCCGTCAAGGTCACCCATTCATTTTATTGTGTGACACCGACAACAAAAATAAATCCACATATATTTATATACGTCACGAGTGAAGTATTCGTCACAATGAAAATGAATCAATGTAAGATTAATCTTCTTGGTCTACCTACTGAAATATTAGTTATCATCTTAAAAAAACTCGATAATATAGATGTTCTTTATTCATTATTTGACGTTAATACTCAACGTCTTAACAACATAATACAAGAAAATACTTTCACTAATACTCTCAATTTTGTATTACCAACATTAAATGATGATATTTTATCAATTTCTGATCGAATGCTTGATAGATTCTGCATGAATATATTGCCAAAAATTCATCACAATGTTAAATCTCTTATTCTTAATTCATTATTTATGGAACGTATTCTTCTTGTTGCTGATTATCCTAATTTAAGTGAACTTAAACTCTTCAAATTTAATGGTCAAATTGCTTCACGTTATTTTACAGGTAAATAACTTCTATTCTCATCTGAATAACAATTTGTATCGATGAAGTAAATAACTATTTTTTTATCTAGTTAAATCATCATTTCGACGTATTTTTCAACGACAAATTACAGATCTTATTCTTGTATTTGAAAATGATTATAATGAAGAATTATGTGAACACTATACAACAGATGTTTATGGATTCATCTTCGAATTCTTCAAAAATTTAAAACATTTATCTATCATTGAATTATGTCCTAAATCGTTTCCACCTCTAGTGCTTCACAATTTACCCTCAACTACTTGCTACTCTTCAACTCTTTACAAATTATGCATCAATGTGATACATTTTGATGATTTACTTGCTTTACTCGATGGTCGTCTCAAACAATTAAACACATTAAATGTCACTATTACTGAAAAGGATTATCATTTAAAGAAAGTTTACACTATGGTAAGTTTAGACTTGATTAGATTTAACTTTTCAATTTAATAAAAAATACTTATGATCACGACGATAAATTTTTTTCATATAATTATTTCAAAATTTTCTTAATTAATTATCTTTTATTTGAATCAACTATGACTAAATAAGTGTAACACATATTTGTCTAGTTGGAAGAAAGAAATCAAATCATTGAGTTGATTTGAAATAAACAATAGTAAGACTAAAAATATTTATCTTCATTTAGTTAAAATATGAATCTATTTAGTTCTTTGACAAACTGATAGAAGGTCGAATTTATTTCAATCTAACTTTTCCTTGAATAACTCGAAAAATTGTCAACTTTTTTCTTTTTAGTCATTCAAATTATTTCATAATAGAGGAAAACATGAGTAGGACGAGTACTAAAAGGATAAAAAATAAGTAATAAAGAAGAAAGATTATATTAAATATAACGAAGTTTAATCCAAGTAACTTTGAATTGATGAGTTCAACAGATATGTTGATTTATCTAATGAAAATTGTCATGTTTATGAGATGATAGAACTTTTCTTTTCTGTATATAAATGATATTTTTCTCACCTATTTAACTATAATGAACATAATTAATCTAAAATATTCAACTAGTTTAAATATTTTTTATTTCTTATCTTCTGGATGTTCAAAAAACCAAGATATACATGAGTTATCCTTGTTGAAGATTTAAATATTATAGAACTGAAGAAATATGCTAAAATGAATAAAATACAAATAGAGTTACTTTTGAATCAATTGTTCCGTCGGATCTTTTTTTAATTTTAATCTATAATAATACACTTACAAATAGTGATTTGTATTTTCTAGACTAATCTACCTGATTTGAAATGTTTTTATGTACAATGTATTTGTTTCAATCATACATATTATGGTCAAATTTTACCTCTCTTACATCGTATGTCAAACATTGAAACATTAAATTTACATCTTGGTATTGATAATCCAAAAATATTGATTGATAATAACCACCTTCATAATGAATTTATTGATCGTATGCCACGACTTCGTACATTTAATTTTTATTTTCTTAGTTTTATTGAATTGAATCAATCAGTTCATCATTTATCTAAAGATGACATTCTACAAACGTTTCCTAACATTATATATCAACAAGTAGACTGTATGATCAATTATGGATGTAATAATGTGAAATATCATCTATTTTCATTACCATTCATGTTTGATTATCTTCCTTTTATTGAGAATGTATTTCCAAGTATTATATTCGACCATGTTATAAGGTTGTCAGTGGATGATAGTATTCCATTCGAACATGAATTTTTCATGAGAATTGCTTGGTCTTTTCCTTTACTTAGAATATTAAATATTTACAATTTTATGCCACAATTAGTAATATCAAACAAATTAAGCTCTAATGATAATCAATTATGTTCAACAATTATTCAATATCCTTATCTTACTTCACTTGATCTTCAATTTGTTCATGATGATTATATTGAACAATTCCTAAATGATAAAAAAGCATACTTACCTCATCTAAGCAAATTAAACATTAGTTGCGATGGGTTACACAGTGTTACGAGAAATTTTACAAACGAAAGAACACGACTCAATTGTATGAATGTGAAACAATTAAATATCACTCCTAAAATAAGTATACATTCAGAAGATTTCTATGCTTATTTTCCTTCAGTGTAAGTTAACTCTTCTTTTTTTTTGATTAACCTAATAAAATGAATAATGAAAACAGTAATTGTATTTTTGTAATCAAATCATTTTGAATAACCATTACCAATTAGATATTCTGATTAACTCGGGAGTTTTTTTTTATCTGAATAAAATGTTTACAATAACATTTCGAGCTGTGATGGGTTCCGCTTCGCATATTTTCAAAATTATCAGAGGAATTAGTGATTTTTTCTATTTCCAGGCACATGTAATGAAGTTGGAAGTGTTCCATGACATACGGCTTATTCCGTTGCAGATTTATTTAAAGGAAACGCACTGAACTGTTTAGTAGTCTGTATTCTGAAGAGCGACATACTCAGTAATCGGAATATCAGTTTCTGAAAAAATATCATTCGATCCAAGCAGACAAAATTTTTCAAACATGCGTTTAAACGCATCAAAAAGGACCAAACATCGAAAAACAGTGGACGTGTTTGGATGACAATCGGGATTCCCGACTGTGAGCGAAAAACGCCCAGTTTTCTACCTTCTTGTGCGTTTAAACACATTTTCAGCAAAAAAACGCGTTTAAATCCATAAAAAAAAAGAGAAAAAGTGATCGTTGTTTTCATACTCGAGAACCTAAATTATAATCCCATCATGGATAACGACTATGAGACAAACGACCATTTTTCTCCTTTTATTCTTTGCATTTGAACGCGTTTTTTGACTGAAAGCGCGTTTAAACGCCCTGGAAGGGTGAAAACTGGGCGTTTTTTGCTCACAGTCGGGAACCACGACTGTCATCCAAACACATCCACTGTTTTTCGATTTTTGGGCCTTTTTGGTGCGTTTAAACGCGTGTTTGAAAAAGTTTGTCTACTTGGGTACCATGCAATTCAGAGAAAAACGAAAACAAATTTTAAATTTACAGTAAGAATATACAATGTATTTGACCACAAATATTGACGACTATAACCGAAAATGCAATACAAATATACCAATTTGATACCTTCCACTAATATCCGGGACGCTTTCTTACAATTGTATGGGACGCAACAGATAGCTTTGGTGTAATGGTCAGCAAGAGCAATATGGTATAACTCTATTCAGGGCACACGTATTGACAAAAGGGACTTGTACCTTTTTTAGCTTTATTACTTAATGTGCTATTGGTTCACACTGTATTATGTTCACAAAAACTTCCTTTCATTGCCATTCCTTTTAGTTCTGACAATTCACATTGACGTTTCTAGAAAGCCGTGTAATGCATCACATACTTTCAAGATACGCTATGGACACACCAAATTTTAAATTTCCTAGTTTGGTGCTGAGAATTTCATTTGATGATAAAAAGATGCACTCTCTCGAAATACAGGTCGAAGCCCTGTATTGTAAGATATTGTTCCGACAGTCTGAGTGAAAGCTCAACAAACAATTTAATTTTCCACAAAGCTGTCAAATATACCTGTTACCGATAGTAATTTGACTTGAACACAAAACGACACATATTTTCTGAAAATAAATTACGAGCATAAGTATAGCGTTTTTATCGAAATTGTTCTTTCGTAGTGCAATCAATAAATAAGACGCCACTTATTTACTCTGTCACAGCAAGTTTTAACTGTTACTGGTTAATAGACGCAAATATCCATTGCATGATTTCACTTCTCTCTTGAAAATCGATTAATAACAGCTGGCATAGTCTCCATTTTTTCTGTAACACGGCACTTGCAAAACTGTTTAAGCCACTATTACCAATATCAGCTAAATTCCTTAATGACTTTGGTTTATCGGGTAATATCGAGTCGAAGATAGTCGATACTTGCGGTGTCAATGTCCAGCTTAACTTATACAGAGCATCGGTTGGTAACGAAGGAAGAGAATTGAACTGTAGAACTTGCTGCCAATTATATGAAATCATTTGATCGAGTGAATCTGTGTTGGCATATGAATTGATCATACTGGATCCATACCAGAGTTGAGTGTAATTTTCTATAGTAGCATCATCACTTAACGTGACTATCACTCGTTGATTAGTTGAAATCATATCACCAATGGTTGTGGTATTGAAGTTATTGATACGCGAATATAACATTGGATTGAATATGTTGATGATCATATCTCTTAATTCATTCAAATTTTTCTGTGTTAAATTCGCACTAGCAAGATGTGATACTTCAATCACAATGATTTCATTGGGATGTAACAACAAGAAGGAATTCAATGCATTGAGATGAGTGTTAATAGGTAGACCGAGCTCAAAATGATACGAGCACCACTCTGTACCATTGTAGGCAGCACGAATATCAAAATAGCGCATACCATCCTCTGCTTGTTCATATAAATTTCTACTTTGTGCCAATGCCCATGGTGTAATAACCTCCTGTAATGGTATTCCTAATTTCTCTGCTAGTTTTACAAGAGCATCCAGTACTGGATTTCCAGTAGGATCAGGTGACAGAGCTGATGTGAGAGTAAACGATGCACTATCATGTGTGCCTGGTAGAGTAAGATTAAATAAATGAAGATGAGATATATTGGGAAGGAGTTGTTGCATCCAAATACTGGTGTTAATAGATATGGGAGAAGGAAAACTTTGATTTTGTCGTAAGTCAATTAGAATATTTTCTTGAACTGGATAAAGATAAGTATACTGTGGGTAATTGATTAGCAGTAATAGTGATAATGTTAGTATTGAAAGATCAGCAATCATGTTGAACATAGCAAAAATGATGTAGTATGATAGAAATAAAACGAATTTGTGTTAAGATATTTACTAACTTGCGTTATCAGATAATGTGCTTTCTCTTCTCTGCGCAATATATGCGCATGAAAAAGAATCTTTTATCATCTCTAACTGAAAAACACATTTTTATCTCTGATTATTACTAGTAGCAAAAGAAAACAACACGGTATAAGTACGAATGGATGACTAGTTAATTGAGAGTATACATAAATCAATTCAATAATAAAAGAAACGCAGAGTTTAATTTTGCCGACGCGTTTCGTATCTTTTACAAGAAAGTACTCTTCAGGACTAGAGATGTATATCTATAATACCGAAAGGAAAGTTCATTGTGTGTAAAAGTTGATGAGTATAATAACAATACCATTTTTTCATATCTCCTAAAAACGAAGCATCTATTCATTAAAAGAATGATTTCATAGAGATTATGTTGTATTTGATAATACACGTGATGTTGATTTATATCATCTACGATGTGTTTGCAAATCTATTTTTCTTAAATAATGTTCACACATTGTAGAATACCTAATAAATGCAAACAAAAATCATTTTGCTGTGATAATTAAGATTCCAGTAAACGCTAACATAAAGTCCCAATTTGATTTGACACGGTTTTTTACAAACAAAAAAGTCTTTTCAAAAGCTTCAATAGTTGAAGGCATTATTAAGATTATGATCACAGAATGAGAACTAGTTCAATCACCTTGAATAAAAATAAAACTTAATAGACGATTCAAAAAATTGGAATTACCTTACTTTGAGAAAAACAAATATTATTCATGAAGATCTTCACATAATTTATTTGTTGCTTGAAAATCAGTTACACTCTTCTACATAAGAAAATTAAATCAAAAAACAATTGACAAGTTAAAGATACTGATAGAGGTATGAGCCGAAGGGTTGAACGGCGGCAGCTGCTACAAATTCTTAAAATTTTTTTCACAGCGGCGGCGCCGGCTGATATTTGTAACTCCTTATGTGGCGGCGGCGGCGGCGGCGGCTGAGTTAAAAATTCACTGATGAAAATTAAAAGGAAAACGTTCGATTCGATCGCATATGTATTGATGTCAGCGGCGGCTCCCCAAAAATTCTTAAAATTAACAGTAATTTGGTTGCGGCGGCGGCTGATATTATGGAAAAATCGGCTGCTGCGGCGGCTCAGCCGTACGGCTGACACCTCTACATTTAGTACTCTATATTCGATCTGTCTTTTCTCTTTTTGAATTGTACATACATTTTTATTCTATTACAGCACTTGCTGTTACTCTAATTTTTTCTCATTAACAGTGATCTGCATAAATTCTTATGATTTCAATTAAACTAAAGACTATACAAATAATAATGTAATCTTAATTTTAGATTTTGCTTTAATTGAAGAAAAAGTAATTTTATATCAGGAAAAATGTCAAGATCAGAATCTGATTCGAAATCTGACTCATCGCCAAAGCACTTGCAATATTGTGATCGACCAGAATGGTCCGATGTTGTACCAATTGAACAAGATGATGGACCCAATGCCGTCGTAAAAATAGCTTATTCAGAAGCATTTCGTGATACGTTTGATTATCTACGTGCATGTATGCACTAAAACGAATTAAGTGAACGGGCACTTGAATTAACAAAAAGTGCATGCCATCTTAATCCGGCTAATTATACAGTTTGGTGTTATAGACGAAAAATTCTATTACATCTTGGATCCGATTTAGATGAAGCATTAGCATTTGTCGGACGAATGATCGAATCGAATCCAAAAAATTATCAAGTATAGCTCTTTATTCCTTTTTTTGTTTTTATAAATCATTCTAATAATTCTTGTTAAGTTTTGGGAACATCGTCGATTAATTGTCGAAATTTCAGGTCATTCATCAAATGAATTATCATTTATTGCAAGTATTATTAAATTGGATTCGAAAAATTATCATGCATGGCAATATCGCCAATGGGTTCTTAAAACTTATGTACTTTGGTCGGATGAATTACAATATGTTGATCATTTATTACAAGAAGATATTAGAAATAATTCGGCATGGAATCAATGTTATTTTGTTATAGCTCATACAACAGGTTTCAAAGATGATATTATCGAACGTGAATTAGGTTATGTTGAAAAACGCATTGAGCTATGCCCGGATAATGAAAGTGCATGGAATTATTTACGTAGTATTGCAAGACTTCGTTTAGCCAGTTTAACTGATCAACGTATATGGAATTTTTGTCGAGATTCGTATGAAAACAATTTTCTAAAAGATGATTTTAATAGTCAACAATGACGATTTTTACTTGGTTATATGATTGAATTGTTAATGGATGATGATCGTGCTGACAAACAAGAAGATAATAAAAAGATGATTCATGATCTTTGTGAAAAATTAATGTTACAAATTGATCCGATTCGAAAAAAATATTGGCAATACATTGAGGAACCAACTTCAACCACGTAAACATTTGCTGCTTGCATTTATGTTTTCTTCTGAATATTTCATGAGTTTCTTGACACCTAGTGATTTGTGATGATTGTTACCGATTAAGATCACATTTGATCGTCCCCTCTCTTTTTTTTCCTTTTTTTGTGCATGACAAAAAAATAAACAGATGCAGTCCAAAAGAAAGCAATCAAAGAAACTATCATTTTTTTGTATTATTCTCATTGGTTGCGATGAATTGATAGTCAATTTTTCATAAGAATGTTGAGAATTTCGTACACTGATTGCAAGCAATTCTATTAACATATACAACAGCAACTTCATCTATGGCGCAATATATCGATACTTCGTAAAAAAGAAGGGAAAACAATCTTGATTTCTTCAAAAATAGAATATGACAAAAGGAAAATATTTTAATCCTTGCTTGCACACCTTACTATCTTGAAATGAAAAATGATTAGAATCGATTTGCATTTTATTTTTGAAAAAAACAAGAAAATATGAATCGATTCAACATATTGATTTGGGTTTTGTGTATTGTATTTCTTCGTAGTCATGCCTTTTATAATGAGAAAACGACAGAATTTTCTGGTAACGATAATAAAGTAGTCGCTGTAAACACATTCTTTAATGTTATTGCACAAGATGGTGCTGATCCATGGGTATATAAACATACAGATGGATGGTATTATTCTACAAGAACTACAGGTGGTGATGTTCGTATTTGGCGATCACGTAGGGTGTGGGTGTGAATGTGAGGGTATTTTTGTTCAGACACCCACACCCACACTCTACTTCTTTAAACCATAATGATGTCGGTTTTGCATCTAAGACTCGATGATAAACACTCATATTGCCAGTTGTATTGCCTTTCATATGATACCAAAAGTCAAGACAAGCACCTTTTGGTGATTCAAGAATTTCACTAACGAGCCATGCTTTATCTCCGTGATTTTGTGGAAACGATGATTCAATATAAGCATAATAACCAACACTTGTTCCCGTTGTATGATCGACAGTGGGTCTAAAAACAAACAGAATCATACAAATGCAACTTCAATATTAAAACGAGAACTTTTATTTACCCTGTATCGAATGATATTGTACCACCTTGATTGAGTGCCCAATCAAAATTGTCTTCATCTTTAGGATTGTAAAATCCACAAAAAGTACCGTCTTCAAAATTGCAACTTCCTTCTTCTTCACATGGACCATTTGCTAGAGAAATATCATCAACAGCAATATCACCCTAAATAAAAATTAATTAGATTAAATTCTTCAATCTGTTTTTATTTCGCTTTACTTGAAAACTTGAGCCGACAACACCTTCGAATGCTATTTGATATTGATCATCATTACGTACAGTTACATGTCCATAGCGCCATCGATTACCGAGATTACCACTAAAATAAATTTCAAATCAATCTCATATTTAAATATAACATTTCGCTCAATACAATACCTCTTCGTCCATAGTAATCGTTGCGTACCAGCAATAAGAACATTCAATGAACCAATCGATGGTCCGAACATATGATAATGAAATTTCAAACAAACTGATGATGCTTAAGTATACATTGGACTTATTAATCGTGCTTTTTGTCCACGAATTTGAGGAGACGATGTTTCAATATAAATATAATAACCACGATCAGTTCCCGTCGTATGATCTATAATTGTAAACAAAACAAAAAAAAGAAATGATGAAACTGTCTGAAGTCTTTCTTTTGAAATATTCTTACCAGTCGTTGGTTCAGTACCAATAGAATCCGTTGCTTTTTGTGTACGTGTCCAATAGAAATCACATGTTGTATCATTAATCCATCCACAGAATGAAGTTTCAAAATCACACCAATCTGTTGGTGGACATTCACCATCGGTTAAAAATATTTCATCAAGCGATATCTAGAAATTTTCATATAAATATATACAAAAGAAAGAGAGAATATTTTCGTCGAACATACATCTCCTTCCCATCCACTTCCAACATAACCATCGAGTTTGAGAGCAAAATTATATGGAATATCACTTAAATTAATTAGTCCAACGCGCCATTGTTTTGATTGGGTTTCATTACGTTCCTAAACTAGATTTTGTTGGATATCATTCGGTGTATTTTGTAATGTTGATATTTGTAATGAACCAATATTTCCACCCCACCTATTAATTAGATAAATATAAATTTCCGATGCTTTCAAGTCTCTGTATAGTTACATATGATAGTAAAATTGAAAACACATTGTTCCTATCGGTTTTGATATATATGGTGAAATCAGACCAGCACGATCACCTTCTACTCGTGGATAACTTGCTTCGATATAAATGTAAAATGGTGAATTGTCTGCGCCTAATGAATGGAAAAGGATGACTTATAATACGGAAATCTATCTGGATGCTTACCTGTAGTTGGGCCTGTACCCGATGAGCCTGTACTTCCTGTATGTCTAGTCCAATTGAATTGACCTGTTGGATCAAATTTCCATTGACAAAAATCGTCTTCAAATCGACAGGTTACTAATGCTTGTGAAACTTCAACTGGATCAGCTTCAAATGGTTGTAATTTACATGAATCTGTTTGTTGAACTCCAATTTCATCAACAGCAATATCACCTTCAAAAGATTTTCCACGAGCACCTTCAATTATAATTTGATATCGACCATTTGGTTGAATAGGTACAAAAGCATGTTTCCATTATGGCCCACGTGGTCCAGCCAATGCCCATACTAATGATTCTGAAGTCAAATTAGCAGATACGAGTGATCGTACATTAACAATTAAACGACCAACATCAACTCCATACCTAAATGAAATATAGGTATCAATTGAATCGTATATACACCAAAAAACAAAAACTTACATATTATACCAAAATGAAAAACATCTTGGACGATTATCAAAATAGATTTCTGATTATAATCGAGCTTTCCATTCCGATTCAGCTGGTATAGATGTTTCAATATAAATATAAAAACCATTGACAGTAGCTAGAATAGAATATAAGTATTATTTTTGTTTTTGTTGTTGATTTAAACTATTCAAATAGTTCAACATACTATGATCTCCATTGGGCCCTGTATCAGCCGATGGTGTTGTACCATTACGAAGAATCCAATCGAATTGATTATCTGCTGCATTTGTCCATGAGCAATATGTATTATCATCAAATGTACATTCATTTGCACGTAAACTGCATTCACCTTCTTTAACCATAGAATCGTCGAGTGCAACAAATCCTATACATAGAAAAACAAAAAAAAACTTAATTTTGTTTCCTACACAATATTAAATTATTACCTTGTCGCAAGTAACCAGTTATAATTTCGAAAACAATACGAACATTATTTAATGGTGGTAGAGTAATTTCACCTTTGTTCCATATGAAATCATGATCGTAGTTTCGTGTAAATAAAGCTCGTGGTGTGCTACCAGTTGTTTCAGTTAATATATTGAATGTATTATTTGAACCGGCAAGTACATAATAAAATTCAAGACAATATGATTGAGTTTTCGTTGACTTATACATTGGTGAATAGAGACGTCCATTTAGATTTTCACCTTGACTTTCAAGATCAATATAAGCATATGAACCACGATTCGTACCAGTCGTATGATCAAATGGAATTGGTGTCGTACGTACTTGAGTATCACTACCAGTATAGGTTTTCCATTGTAAAGATGACGCAGTTGCATTTTGTGTGAAACCACATTGTGCAAAGTCTGTAAATGTACATGATTCGCCAATAGCGGCACTTTCTTTACATGCACCAGATGTAAATATAACATCATCAATCGATACATCACCAATAGAATTTGGACCAGCAATAGCTTTATAAAATAAATAAATAAATAAAACAATAGAACAATATTTTTCTTTTTAGTTACCTTCAAACACAATGTTAACATTTGTTTTTTTAATTTCCATTCGTCCAAAACGCCATAAATCACCTTGTGTACCTTTTCGTTTCCAAAGTGATATACCGAGATTATCACCAGCAGCCATATAAAGATTGAGTGTACCACCTTGTCCAAGTAAATGATAATAGAATGTCATACATTGAGGATTGTTGAGAGTCGGACTTTTCAAACGTGCATAATCATTTGCTTGACCTTTACTCAAATCAGCTTGCATGAAATAACCTTGAACAGTATTTGTTGTATGATCGATTTCTAAATATTTTTTTAAAATTCTCTCCTTGAAAACGAAATTATAAATTCAAACATACCTGGTGCTGCTACAGTCGAAGCTTGTACACGTGTCCAATTAAATCGATTATTTGCCATATTTTCCCAACCGTTACATAGTCCACTTTCAAATGTACAATCATAGGGTCCCGGTGGATTTGTGATAGTTGGTTTTGTTGATGTTGTTGTTGGTACAATATTGGAGGGATCAGCATCTGGTGGCGTTAAAACACATGGATTTTCGAATATACGAAGATCATCAATAGCTGCATCTCCTTGAAATGAATTACCTATAAATAAAAATATAAATTCAACAAATAGAATAGAATTAAAATCTTAATTTTTCACTCACCAACAACTCTTTCAATTCGTATTCGATAGTATGAACTTGATTTAACAGTCACTTGACCGTTCAACCATTTGTCACCTTGATTTCCTTGTAATCCTCTAAGATAAACGAAATATTTCATTGATTCAAAAAATTATTTTCTCTTTTTAAAACAAATTTTTGCTTACCAAACCCATAATGGTTCTTTAGATTTCACACCATTGACATAGATATTCAATGAACCAATACTTCCATACATATGATACCAAAATGAAAAACAGGAACCAATCGATGATGTTGGCATAAGTATTGTTGATTCAAGGATAGCACGATCATTAGTTTGTCTTGGCGACGATGCTTCAATATAAGCATAATAGCCAAAAGCATCATTATACGTATGATCAACTGTTGGTCCAGTAAATGCTGAATCTGTTTCACCATGTGCAACGAGCCAATCAAATTGATCTGCTGGCGAACGAATATTATGCCATGTACAGAAATCAATTGATTCAAAGGAACATGAACCTAACGTTGGACAAAATCCTTCTCGTAGAGTAACATCATCAATAGCTAGATCACCAAAATATCCAACACCATATTCACTTTCGAATGCAAACGTCCATGGTTCGTCGGTTTTTCTTATTGTTATTTCAGCTGCATTCCAAATATCACCAAAATTATAATTAACTTTCCACAATAGATATAGCTGACTCGCTGATAATACACGTTGATAAATTATCAATGAACCAACATCAGCACCGAAGCTATGATACCAAAATGAAAGACATTGTCCATTTGAATTATTGTTCCATGGAGATACTAATAGAGCTTTTTCACCTTCACGACTTGAACTAGCACTTGGAACATATACGTAATAACCTATTCGAAAATTCATTTTGTTTTTAGAAAATTAAAATAATAAATATTTCAATTGATGTATTCTTACCACTACTAGTCAATGTAGTATGATCAACACTTGGCCCATTTAATGTGCCTGGTGTTGCTCCTAGAAAATAAAATTGATTATTTTGAGCTAGAAAAAAACTCATTCGATAAACCTTTATGTCTGATCCATTGATGTTTTTCTGTTGGATCATTTGTAAAACCACATAAATTTTCTTCGTCGAAATCACATTCAAATGGTAAATCACTTGGACAATTACCATCGATAAGTTGAAGATTATCTAAAGCAATATCTCCTTGAAAACTTACACCAGCAACACCTTGGAGAATAATCTAAACAAATATCAAGAAATTTTTATTATAGTTTTATGAGAATGACAACAACAAAATGACACATACGCTGTAGAGACTTGTGATACCATTTAATTTAACTTTTCCTAAACGCCAAATATTTCCTTGAGATCCTTCACGAGACCAAACAGTTGTTTCAACATTTGATGAATCAACAATTAATACATCTAAACGATTGATATCAGGTCCGTGCATATGATACCAAAATTCAAAATATTTTGTTGTTGAACCAGCAATGGATGGTGATAGTAAACGTGCTGTATCATTGAGTTTAACAGGATAAGATGTTTCAAGATAAATATACCAGCCTTGATCTAACAAATAGAAAAGAAGAAGAAAAACAAAATGATTAGAATGTTTTCTTTTTAAAATTTTTACTTGTATGTGTTGTTACATCGAATTGAGGACCAGTTTCAGCTGTTGAAGTAGCACCTTGATTTCGAGTCCAATTAAGAGCACCATCAGTAAGGAAAGTCCATTGACAAAAATCGTCTTCAAATGTACAATCATAAATACTTGGAACTGTATAGAATTTAGAGGAAAAAAAAATAAATAGATTTATTTTGAAATTCTATTCATTTGACAAACTTTGAAATGGTGTCGTTGGTCGAGTTACTGTTTGTGGTGTTGTTAACATAGTAGCACCTGCCGTTAATGGAGTTATTCCACAGTAACCATCTCGAATATCGATATCATCGATAGCATAATAACCGTTCATTTGTGCGCTGACACTTCCTTCAATGACAATCTGTACAAAGAAAACGAGAACAAACAAAAATCAAGTTAGTCAAAGTTTTAGAAGAGAAAAAAAGCCAATCTTTACATTGTGATCCTCATCTGCATAGTAGCCGACAGATGCAAATTGCCATGATTCACCTTGACTTACGGAACCCAATGACCATATCATGTATGTATTTTGTGAAGTTGAAATATTGACATCGACACGACCTAATTGATTACCACGTAGAACATACCAGAATGTTAAACAACGACCAGAAGTTGAAGTCGATGGAAATGTTTCACTTTGAATAACAGCCACAACTGATTGTTGATTAGTGTAGGATGAACTTAAAAGAAGATATTGACCTTGGTCACTTCCTATAAATTTAATATCATAGATAAGATTCTATTTTTCTTATTGCCATAAAAAGCAGGTTCAAACCTAATGTATGATCATTTTGAGGTCCATTATAAGGTGGTTTCGATGAGCCAGATCCAACAAACCAAGTAGCATTTCAAAAAAGTAAGAAATTACGCCATGTACACAATCTAGAACAAATCATTAAAGAAAAGGAATTTAGAAAATGTAAAATTAGATTCCTTTTGTTTTAATATAATTTTACCCATTTTCAAAATCACAATCACCCGATTCAGGACAAGCTCGATCACGAATAAATACATCGTCAATAGCCACGGTTGGTGAATTTGGACCGAATTTATAAATTATACTTTCAAAAATAACCTGATATGGTGTTAAACTAAGATCATGTGGAATACGTTGTTGTGAAAGACGCCATTGGCCTTCCTTTAAAAAGATTCAAAATAATCATTTCTTGTTTTTCTTCTATATCATTCAAATTAAAATAACTTACTCGAAGGATATTTTTCGACCAAATTAAATAGCCTGTCGTATTTGTTGATTGTTTACTTGTTCGTACAAATAATTGTAATTTAGATAGAGTACTAATTAATTCACCATCTAAATAATACCAAAATTCAACACACTGTTCTCCATTAGGAACTATTACTGGTGAGGTAAGACGTGCTCGTTGATCAGTTACACCTTGTGCTGGTTTAGAAATATTAACAAGCATATATGCACCATTGATTGTACCATCTGTATGATCGGTCAATGGTTTAAAACCAGTGCCTACTGGATCATTACCAGTTGCACGTATCCAATTGTACTGTGTTGTAGCATCACTGGAGTAAGAACATAGTTTTGGATCTTCAAAGGAACATAATCGATCTTCATTTGGACATGATTGATAGACAACAATATCATCGATGGCAATATCACCAAGACCGAATCTATATAGAAAAAGAAATTCGTTTTCATGAAAAACGAAGCAAACAGCTTACTGTCCAACAATGCCTTCGAATACAATTTGAAATTTGGTATTCGCTTGTGGAAATATTGGATATTGTCCTTTGAGCCATTGTTTACCTAATTAAAGACAAGAAAAATTAGAAGATAATCATCGATATGAAAAACAAATCACCTTGATCTCTTGTTCGTGTCCATACTGGTTTACCCATATTATTATTTACTTTAATGTAAATATTTAATGTATCCACATCCATACCATACATATAATACCAAAATTGTAAACATTTTTGTCCTTGAATTTCTTCTGATACGATACGGCAACGTTGATTATATTTTTGTGGAAAACTAGCTTCCATGTAAATATACCAACCATCGGATGTTCCATACGTATGATCTAGAAGAAGAAAAAAAAACGACAAGTGAAACTCTTCAATAGACTAGCCAAGTATATTCTACAAACCAGAAGTAGGTCCAGTATTCATTGATGGTGTTTGACCTTGTTTTGGTGCCCATCGAAAATCAGCATCGTTATCATGTGACCACGTTGCACAAAGAACACCTTGTTCAAAATTACAATCCCATGGTGATTGTGGTGCTAAAGTCGATTGACGTATAGTTGTTGTTGACAGTGTTGACGGAAGAGTGGTTGCCCCCGTTGGTACAGCATCATTCATCGGTCGAATCGAGCAATTACTTGTTGTAAATGTAAAATCATCAATAGATATATCACCCTATAGGTAATGAAAAGAAAAATTAAAATTAGAAATAAATAAAACAATACTGATTCTTACCAAGTAATCTTTTCCAGAAATAGCTTCCATAATAATTTGATAGGGAGTCGATGAAATATATGAAACTTGACCTTCATACCAATTATTACCACGATTACCTGATAATGACCATATTCGTTTATATGTACCATCGAAAACATAAACATTCAATGTTCCAATTGAATCACCATACCTATTAGGAAACCATCGATAATCTAATATTCAATCAACGCTTATCTACTTACATATGAAACCAAAATCTAAAACATTTCGCATCTCCATTGGTTCCATCAAAAATAAGACTACGTAAACGTGCACGATCACCTGGTTTTGTTGGAAGTGATGTTTCAATCATTAAAT